ATCTGAAAGCAAGCTCTAAAAATATTTATCAGCATGGAAAGAAAACATTAATATGTTATTGAGCAAACAGTAGCACAGAATATATATATGTAATATCTTTTTTGTGATTTTCTATGTTGATATTCATTAACTCTACATTTTATACTTGGAATATCAATAATTACACCTTGCAGGTGCCATCAGAGGTGATTCAGTCTTCATGCAGTTTCTCCATTTCCTTTTTTATTACTACAGCTTTAGTATACAAGAAAAAAAAAAACTTTTTTAAAAGAAAAAATCAGGCATTAACCAACCAGTCAATCAATGGATCAACAGGCAACTGGGCTAGCTATATGTCAGGGACAAATGAAAAAGATTAGAACAGTTTTCAAAGGATGGCTAAAGAAACAAAGAAGATAGGTATTTAATATTTAAATGTGTAGTACTTATTTTTTAAAAAGAGGTTCTATCTGAGCAAGATAAGTACAGCCTACTGGCCAATACACAATGGCATAATGCTGACAATGAAGAAAGAAAACAGGAGAGCTTCCATTGGCATCCATTTTCCCTGGACAAAGGGTCTACTGATAGGAAAAGTCACAGTAAAATACCCCCATAAGAAACTCAAGAGATGGCAGGTGGAGAGTGGAGCACCCAAACACTCTGGATTCATTTCTGTGATTTGGTGAATAATATCCCAGAGTATGGAAACAAGTCAGCAAAATTCATGCTAGGAATATGTGGGAAATCAGCAGGAAGAGTGAGAAAACGTGAAAAGACCAACACCTGTTGTGTCTGATGTAAAATTAAAATGTGTAGTTAGCGCTACAGCTACACAGAGAGTTTATTAACCTTTCTGAGTTTTAACTTCCTGATTCACAAAATGGAAATGATAATAAATAACTCCCTACATGTCAATGAGGGATAGAGGAGATAATGCTTCTAAAATGCCTAATGACAGGCCTGACACATACAAGATAATTAACACAAGGCAAGAGCTGCACATTTTATAAAAGGCTGCGTCTAGAAACCAGGCACCTGTAGGTGTGACCTCATTTTCCAGACTCATCACAATGGAGCAGGGAAAGTCATCTGAAAGGCCTAACTAGGGAAAACCTAGAGGGAGAGGAAACACCCTCCAGGCACCCAGAGCCAGAACATCTAGCTACACAGAAGAGCTTTCTTTCCCTTTATTGAAGAGGTAGAGAGTGCTTCCCTGCAGAGAATTACAAGAAATAAAAAATGGCAAGTTGTTCAATTTTTAATACCAATTCACTAGAAGAAGCCAGGGATATGCACTTTAGCCCTGGAGTTGGAGTCTTGTGAGCTTCTGTGACTCATTTCAAGCTAGCGAAGGAAGCATAGGTCAAATGTTTCTAATCTGAAAATCTGAAATGCTGGGAATTTTGGATTTTTGGATTAGGGATGTTTAAATGGTATAATCTATACAAATTCCAAAACCCAAAAAATTTGAAGTCAAATAGCTTTGGTTCCAAGCATCTTGTATAATGGATATCCAGTTTGTACTTGCAGAAGTGGTAGGAAGGAGGCATGAAAAGTTAATGGCGATGAGGCTCAACTAAGGAGATGCAAGCCAGAAGTATTTTCAGCAGACAAGGCTAGGAGAAAAACAAAACAAAACCCAAGGCAAAGTCTGGTCACCAATAAAAATTCTTTATCATTTCTGCTGAAAATACATTGCCAGTCAACTAAGGATTAAGTCTATACCTAAAAAAAGGAAAGAGACTAAGCAATACAAATTATCAGCAAAGAGACAGTGTTTTTCTTTTTCCTTTATTTTGCTATTATTTTCTGATCATCTCCAAGCAGGGTTTTATCTAGAGGCTCAGAGCACAGTGGTGACAGTCTGGGTTTGAGGCCTGACTCCATCTTCATCAGTGTGACCCCAGGCAACTTAGGTAACATATCTGTGCTTCAGTTTCTCACTGGAAAATAAAAGAACTACTACTGGGCCGGCGCCGCGGCTCAATAGGCTAATCCTCCGCCTAGCGGCGCCGGCACACCGGGTTCTAGTCCCGGTCGGGGCGCCGGATTCTGTCCCGGTTGCCCCTCTTCCAGGCCAGCTCTCTGCTGTGGCCAGGGAGTGCAGTGGAGGATGGCCCAGGTGCTTGGGCCCTGCACCCCATGGGAGACCAGGAAAAGCACCTGGCTCCTGGCTCCTGCCATCGGACCAGCGCGGTGCACCGGCCGCAGCGCGCTGGCCGCGGCGGCCATTGGAGGGTGAACCAACGGCAAAGGAAGACCTTTCTCTCTGTCTCTCTCTCTCTCACTGTCCACTCTGCCTGTCAAAAAAAAAAAAAAAAAAAAAAAGAACTACTACTACTTCAAAGGGTTGTTGTGAAGCTGAGCTGAGTTACAGATAAACACTCAGAAGAGTGTTTGGGCACTACATATTATTATCTCTTTAAATTCTATGCAGTCACATTATGAAGCATAGATTTTTTTAAAATCTTCATTATAAATGAGAACATGAAATAATATGTGTGTCACCAAAGGCCTGAACTATTCCATGGGTACAGAGATGAGGCCACACCCAGTTTCACTGATAGGACTATCACCAGCTATGCTGGCCTTCTTTTTTTCATTCTGTGTTGCACAGCCAAAAACCTCATCATTTTACTTTAATCTAGGGCTCAGAGTGAGATTTACATGTGAAGCCATTCATTAAAGCGTTAAAAAAAAGTTATCTTACACTTACTGTTTTTGAATATATTATACACAGACTTAGAATAAAATTCAAATAGTACAATCTATAGGGAAATGAAAATTTTCCTTCCTTTCCTGCTGCAAGCCCCCAACTCCCTGCCTCCAAGGGAATGCCGTCACATGGTTTTTATCTTTCAAGAAATGAAGTATCATTTCAAACAGGGGAAAGCACAGCACATCCAATCAATTGGATATTGTCATGAGAAATGTTGTGAGGAGCAAAGAGTAACAACACAACAGATTCTATACTTAAAAGTAAAAAATTACAAAATTACATTTAAACTATGATTCCAATTTAGTTTTTTTTTCTTTGTTTTTTTTTGGACAGGCAGAGTGGACAGTGAGAGAGAGAGACAGAGAGAAAGGTCTTCCTTTTGCCGTTGGTTCACCCTCCAATGACCGCTGGGGTCGGCACATCGCACTGATCCGAAGCCAGGAGCCAGGTGCTTCTCTTGGTCTCCCATGAGGGTGCAGGGCCCAAGGACTTGGGCCATCCTCCACTGCACTCCCAGGCCATAGCAGAGAGCTGGCCTGGAAGAGGGGCAACCGGGACAGAATCCAGCACCCCGACCGGGACTAGAACCCGGTGTGCCGGCGCCACAAGGCGGAGGATTAGCCTATTGAGCCACGGCACCGGCCCCAATTTAGTTTAAAAATGCACATTAGTAACAATAGAAATATGTCCAACAATTAAATGTGGCTAATTCTGTGCTGTGTGGTTAAGAGTAATTTTCTTTACCTATATCTATCAATCTTTTTAAGAAAAACTTCAAGGGGTCAGCATTGTGGCACAGCAGCATCCCATATGGACTCAAGTTCGAGTCTTGGCTGCTCCACTTCTGATCCAGCTCCCTGCTTGGGAAAAGCAGCAGATGATGGCCTAAGTGCTTGGGCCCCTGTCACCCACATGAGAAACTCGGTTGAAACTCCTGGTTCCTGGCTTCAGCCTGGCCCCTGCACTGGCCACCATGGCCATTTGGGGAGTGAACCAGTGAATGGAAGACTGATCTCTCTCTCTGTCCCACTCTCTAACTCTGTTTCAAATAAATAAATCTTAAACAAACAAAACAAACTTCAAGGATGCTCTAAGCCAAACATCTATTCCATAATCAGAAAAGAAAACCATTATTATGTCATATCATTTTTTCTTTTATTATTTAATGCTGCCACCAAATATTAAAATAGTATTTGTCTTTGGTGTATCATCATCTTAAAAGCTTTTCCATCTCTCCCATTTCTAAGATGGAACTGAGAAAAATATCTAACAACTATAAAATAACAATCCTTTTGGTTCTAAATGAGCACTGCATGTCTTTCGTCATCAAACAACAATTGTTCTTTTCAGAGTAATAACTGGATGATAACACATTTTTTTCTTAAATGAGTTTTGAATTCTATTTCTGGAAAACCTCCATAACCACTTCACAAAGCTATACAAGCCAGACACCTTCAATCTTTATCACTATAAAATGCAAACCAAGGCATCTGTATAAAAAACACCTCTGATATTTAAACTGAGTGCCATGTTAGTGGCATGTTAATAGAGCTGTAAAAATCAACTAAAGCTACAAGTATGAGCTTACTTACAATTCACAAACAAGGGTGATCAAATGTTTAGTATGTTATGAATCAGACCAAGTAGAAAAGAAGCAAAAGAACACTAAATATTTCCTTTAGGAGACAGAGTGTATACTTCCAGACATTGCTGCTTTATTCCCATTAGCTCAGGTAGGGAGTCTGTGGAGTGCAGATGCCCCTAACAAGGTTCTACTGGCTCTGGCTCAGAGTGTTTTGAAAAGGAGCACCAAAGCTCTCTTTTGGCCCTCATGTTGGGAAGTAGGCACATCTGTGTGGACTGCCAGTGATTAAGATGCTGTATATGATGACAAAGGACATATCAGTCTCCTGCACAAAGCTCAGAAGCAATTCTGCCTCTCCAGTCACCATGAGAGAAAAATCAGTAACCTCAATCTCCCCATCTCCAGTTCATCATCTGCTCTTTGTAGCTATTCTAAGTTTACAACTTTCATTGAGATAAATGAGGAAGAGCTTTGCATTTGGATATTTCACCTTTAAAACTGGGACTGAGAACACAGGGCAGTGGTTGTGGCAGATTACCTGTGAGTACAGGGTTCTGACATGGCGTAAGTTCCCTAGCTCACCCATCTGAAGCCTGCTCCCAGGAAATCCCAGCAAGAGGAAGCTCAGATTGCAGCATTTTTGTACTTTAAACCAAACACACGAAAGAGGGCTATGTAGTGCTTACACAGAAACACATGAACAAGGGAACTTACAGAGAGGTCAACAACTGTCTTGATGGCCTTTTCTTTTCTCTTTATGAAGTCATCATCCTGTAAAACAAAACGCAGGGTTTACATAAATCCCCTGTAAAGAGTAAAACTTAACTAGATTGCTCAGAAAAATGCCTTATAAATGGACTTTTCATTACTACTTTGCCTGAAGAAGTCTCAATTTTCTAACAAGTAGAAATGTATTCTCCCTCTGCAGATCATTCCAGCACAGACCCTTACAGCCACTAAGAAAAAGGGGGTTTGGGGGCTCAGTGTGTAGTGGTTAAGACAAATGTTCTATTTCAAATCTTCAGGAGCTCTGAAATTTTAGTCACGTAACCATTATATCTGTCTCCATCTGTAAAGCAGGGACCACAACATCTATCTCAGGAGACAGTCACAGGGCTTAAAGAAGAAAAGGCATGTGATATGCTGGAACTGGCATATAGCAAGTATTTTACAGCTATCATTTATTGGTATTGCTGTTTCAATTATTACAGACTGCTGCAACAGGAATGCACAAGGCAAGTGGTTTCTCAAAAATGTTTTATATAAATATACTCTTCCTGAGATTTAATAAAAATTCTAGACCAAGTATCAAAATTTAGAGTTTTCTACTGTGCAGCCATGTTAGAGGAAGCTCTAACCAACCAGAAGTCCCAGTTTCAATGCTGGGGCAAGAGGAGCAGAGATGCCACGAGAAGATACTGAAATTACCCTGGTCCTTCTTGGGGAGTCTCTAAGTGTGCATTCATTCCCTCCTTCAAACAAAGGAGAAAACCAAACAAAACAAAACCAAACAAAACAAAAACAAAAAACAGGCAACACCTACCTCAGGGAGGCTATAGGTTTTCTGAAACTGGGATATGGAGTAGGAGCGGATGTAGTCACCCATCTCTTCTTTCGTTTCTATAGCTCTCTTCACCAGCCACTGGAGAAGAAAGGGAAGGAATGTGAGTTGACAGGGACGAAATCCCACTCCAGTGAAGTCCAGTTCAGAGATGGCCCAACTCATGAACTCAAGTCAGCAAAACTGAACTGACCAGGTGATAAAAAAGAAAAAAAAACTACCAATACATGCTGTGCTACAAGAAAAGCAACTGGTTGGGCATGTAAAATAGCAGGATTCAATGGAACACAGTACTGAGTAGCAGTGTAGGAGCTCAGGCCTCAGTTTGCCTTTCTCAGTTCTTGGATTACCTAGCTATCACAGAGCTACTGTGGCAGCAAATGAAATCACAGGTACTGCACTCAGTAAAGCTCAGAAGTACAGGGCTGGTGCGGTGGCGCAGCAGGTTAAGCCACCACCTGCAGTGCCTTCATCCCAAATGGGTGCCAGTTCAAGACCCAGCTGCTCCACTTCCAATCCAGCTCTCTGCTATGGCCTGGGAAAGCAGTGGAAGATGGCCCAAGTCCTTGGGCCCCTGCACCCAAATGGGAGACCCAAAAGGCTCTTGCCTTCATATTGGCTCATCTCCAGCCACTGCAGCCAATTCGGAAGTGAACCAGCAGATGGAAGTCCTCTCTCTGTCTTTCTCTCTCTCTGCCTCTCCTTCTTTGTATAACTCTTTCAAGTAAATAAATAAATCTTTAAAAAAAATCTGAAGCACAAGACAAATATATCTATTCCCCCAACCACCTGGACCCAGGGACAGATATTAACATAAATCCCTCTTTTCTGGACTTTCACCACAGATCAATGAAAGATGACAGAATCACAGAGAATACCTACTACAACCCCTTATTGGATAGATGAATAAAGGCCCCAAATACTCAGATCTGAAAACACTATAACTGAGTACATAGCTCAAGGCATCAGGTTAACTTGATGGAACTTCTCTCTGCTAATCCTCAGGAAAACATAAGGTAGATGGTGTAGGCTGAATTTAACAGAAACTGAGGTGCAGGGAGACTACATAATTTGCCCACTGGCCTGTAGCTGACCAGCTACAACATGGGAGTCACAGCCGAGGCTCTTCCATTCTTCGTATGTTTCCCAGCTCTATTGGACTGACATCCAGAACTACCTGCTCTGTTTTCTCCAACTGAAAACTCCAGTGAATTCATGCACACCCAGGCTCTGGAAGATCTGAACACTGTACCCCGAGGGTAGGAGAGTAAAGTGCAAAAAGAGCACACGCTCTTCCTCCTGGCTCTTCACTCATGCCCTTTACCTGGAGATTTTGGAGGGGAGATGCTGCTTGTCATCCTCTTGCCAGAGAGAGAAAGCCACTACATTCCAAAAGCAAGTTTTGGATAGTGCTTGTATTTTACCAAGAGCACTGCACACTTGAACAGGGTCAGCTACACACGAAAGCTGACAGATGATATGTAATATAGATTACCAGGTGCTCCTGCCATTAAGGAAAGAGAGAGGCTTCTTCCCAGAGGCAGACAGCTCAAGAAAAAGACATGCTTCAGAAGCAACTGCCTAGTACAGGGGTGGAAAGAAATAACTATGAGAAATATACCTTGTCAGTAATTTCCACTTATGTAGTAATTTATATTTTATTTCCATCACCTCCCTCCATTTCCAAATAATGATCTCAGGCACTAACCAAAATCCCAAAGCAGAGGCAGAAAATCAGAGTATTCAGAACTATTATAGCCCCTCATCTTCACTCCCACCCCAGGACTACTGCCCAGGACATTATGGCAGCTGGCTAATTGCTCAATTCAATTTAGCGTGGCAGACTCAGTTTCTGCCCTTTCGTGTCTGTTGCCTTTTCCGATCTGCATCGTTAATCGGAAGTCTACTCTGAGACACTACTTGGCTGGCTCCTGGAAAGTGTGATCAGATAAGGGAAAGCCTGTTGAGTCACAAGCTTCCCTTAGACAAATGACAGCTGTTTTGGAGTTGACAGTGAAGAGCTGAGGAAGGAACCTCTAGAACAGCCAAGTTATGCCACAGGGCCTCTGGCACTTGAGAATACCACCTCCCTTCCTGGATTCACACATTTGCCATGGGAAAAAAAGATGCGACCTAGAATTACCAGTGGCTGGAAGTTGGATCTATTTTTTTTTTCCCTTGTCTGGCAATTTGAGTGATACTACAGCTTTACTAAATGGTGTGAACCTGAGTGGTGAGCCTCTAGAATCATACCATGTGACTAAGTCAACGGTTCCAATTGCTGCTCCATTATTTTCTTCTACCAGTTTTTTACAGGAAAAAACTACAGGCATGTGGCGAGTTTTTCATGGTACTAACTTTATTCAATTGGAAGGACTGTCCTTTTTTCTTGATTAGGAATCAAATGGCTATTCTTTCAGGAAATGACAGAGAAAGCAAGATAGCAGTCACTTTAAAAAATGTGCTTGACAGGCCGGCGCCGCGGCTCACTAGGCTAATCCTCCGCCTAGCGGCGCCGGCACACTGGGTTCTAGTCCCGGTCGGGGCGCCTCATTCTGTCCCAGTTGCCCCTCTTCCAGGCCAGCTCTCTGCTGTGGCCAGGGAGTGCAGTAGAGGATGGCCCAAGTGCTTGGGCCCTGCACCCCATGGGAGACCAGGAAAAGCACCTGGCTCCCGGCTCCTGCCATCGGATCAGCGTGGTGCGCCGGCCGCAGCGCGCTGGCCGCGGCGGCCATTGGAGGGTGAACCAACAGCAAAGGAAGACCTTTCTCTCTGTCTCTCTCACGCTGTCCACTCTGCCTGTCAAAAAAAAAAAAAAAAAAAAATGTGCTTGACAGGCAAATCCTAGGAGCTAACTCTAAGTCAATCTCCATTTTCGCCTTAAAACTTATAGATCCATGAAACTAAGAAACCTGGTATCCACAGCCTAGATTCTCTTTTCCAAACAGGAAGTCCTCCAGAATTCCACTCAAACATCAGCATTCACAGACACTCAAATGTCCAAACTGACTACAGAAGATCACCTCCCAATCTTCTTCCCGTAACAGAATTAGGTACTTTGTCCCCAAAGTTACAGTAGGGTTAAGTCAGGTCTAGTCCTTAGAGGGGAAAGGAACAACTTAACAGTGTGATGGTGTTGGGGGTTTCAAAAATAATCACTACTGACTTCCCATTTTCACAAAAAGGATCAGGTTGTCAGCCCCTGTATCAGACAGGCAGAATGTCTAAAAAACATACAAATCAAATTCCAAGTTAAACTGTTAGCCTCTAATTTACTAAACTCATGGCATTTGATTTAAAGTCAAGTGCAGGGAAGATCCAATAAATAATAACAAGAAAAACAACTACATAATATCTATAAAGTACATAATAAAACATCTAAGTTATTCACACTATTAACTTAATTCCCACCCTATCAGGTAGGTACTATTATTATTTCTACTTAAGAAAAGTCAAGTCATCTGCCCAAAACCAATATAGCCAGCAAATGGCAGAGCAAAGATTTGAACCTGGAAGTCTTCACAGTCCCTGCTCTTAACTCCTAAGCTACATAATCTTAACCAAGTCTTTCTGGCAAAGGCTATGCAGCCTCCTGCTAGGTGGCTATGTAGATTAGTGATGTGGCAAAGGCACAAGGCTTGGAGACAGGGAGTTTAAACTGGAATCTTTGCTTGTCCATTCACCAGTGCTCCATCCATAAGCAAACTGGTGACCATCTAAATCTCACTGTCCTCGAAAGTAGGTCTGGAATTATAATAGACATTTCAAGGAACTATACTAGGATTGGATTCAAAGTACTGTTTACACAGCAGGCAACAAATGTCACTCCCTTTGCTCTGTCTTTTCAAGATAGCAGACAGGAGCCCAAACAGATGCACTGTACAGAATACAGGGAGGTGTGCAGCACAAGCCACTTAATCAGTCTTGAGAATAAGCCAAGGTGGACAGGAAGTCATTTAGCCAATAAATAAAGGCAGAACATCTACAAACATTCCTGCACGTATTAGAGACAAAACAGTGAACAAGATAGCCATTGTGCCTACCATTATGAATCTTATGATCTGATGGGAGATGGACAAATGATTACACACATTGATATATATGGCTACAAAATGTAGGAAGGAAGAAGATTCCTGGGAAGGGTCTATGGTCTTATGTATGGACAGAAAGGAATCTGTTCTTGATTAGGCGAACAGGGAAAGCTTTCTTCAAGAGATTTGGTGGAACTGAGATTTGAAGGATCAATGTGAATTAACAGGTAAGAAGACAGAGGAAGAACATCTCTAGCCCAAGGAACCAGCATATACAAAATCTCTGCAACAGGAGGACTATAACAAGTATGGGGAGAAGCTGAGAATCAGAAGGACTAGAACAGAAAGGACAAAGACAAGCAAGGGTCAAAATCAAGCTGAATATGTTAAAGGGACTAAAGTATACAGGGCTGTGGAACTTTAGCTTTACCAACAGGAAATGAAAAGCCACTGAGGCGGAACATTCACGATTTACAACCAGGGATATCACAAACAGGGGTATATGGAACACCGGCGGCTGTTCTGAGGAGGATGACAGCAAACACCACCACACTCTGCTGCAGTTGTTCTGATTCACACCCACTGGTCCAGGACCCAGTGCAGACGTCCCAGGCTCTCACCTGGACCACGGGAAATATGTGGATAAAATCCATCCCCTGGATCTGGTGGGGCTCCAGCTGGTGAGGACACTTCATTCTTGGCAAGACTGAGACAATTTTTTCTGATAGAGCTCTGAGGAAACAAAAAAAAGGCAGCAAAAAGGAGTGAGAACAGGTTGAATGGTTAAAAGATACCTCAGAAGTCTGAGAACCACTCTCAGAAAAATGTCGGGCTTCTCAAAGCCAGGCCAGTGCCAGGACATGACCACATCCTTCTGGTGAGCCACAAAATGAGAAAAATAAACACAGCTTAGATGTCTGCACGTGTGCATGTAAGAACATAGAAATCCTTTATTCCTAGATGTTGCTCTTCCTATTTTTTTGATATTAAAATATTTTTGCTTCTTTACAAAATGATGGGAATGTGAGAAGTAACAGTCATTTTGTTAACAACTTTGTATGGCAAAATAAAGTTATCACTGCCATATGTCTTTTATATACTTTACCATCCAATGTTTTCCTTAATTTCATATAGGCAGCTAATAATTACATGATCCTGTGTCAGGTGTTCAGAATGTTAAGACACACACGGGAACCCATTCTCAAAAGAAACTTGCAGGGGGCTGGCATTGGGGCAGAGCAGGTTAAGTCAATGCCTGAGATGCCAGCATCACATGTGGGCACTGGTTCATGTCCCAGTTGCTCCACTTCCAATTCAGCTCCCTGCTAATGGCCTGAGAAAAGCACTGGAAGATGGTCAAAGTGCATGAGCCCCTGCCACTCATGTGGGAGACTTGGATGAAGCTCCTGGCTCCTGGCTTAGCCTGGCCCAGCCCTGCCATTATGGCCATCCGAGGAGTGAACCAGCAGATGAAAGATCATTTTCTGTTTCTCCCTCTCTCTGTGTATCTGACTTTCAAAATAAATACAAATAAAAAAAGAAGGAAACCTGGGGTTCTCTACACTGGTTTAAAACAGTTTAAAAGAAATAATAACCTTAAAAATTTTGATACTCTAAAACCAATCAGGGGGCCGGCACCATGGCTCAATTGGTTAATCTTCCGCCTGCAGCGCCAGTCTCATCCCTTTAGTGGGAACTAAATGACCCACAGGCAAGAGCTGAACAGCCCCCCAGGGAATGGTCCTTAGACAACACTTAGAAACAGTGTTTGGTATCTAGAAAGTAGCTTCCCATGTGGGGTTAAGGGTGTGAGGCTGAGGATGACAGTTACACCTCACTGCCAGGTTAAACATCAAGTCCAAGGCATTAAGGGAAAACAAAACATGGGCAGAGGAAGACTGATGCCACACGTTCTCAGAAGTAAAAGGCTGAGCACCTCACATCCAAGAACATATAGGACAATATCTGCCTCTCCCCTGCCTCCCCGCCTTCTCCCCAACAGAAGAGGAAGTAGGGTGATTTATTGAAAAGGTCTGACAAGAAGGAATCATCGTGTGGTTCTCAGTCACTGCTGGCCCCTTCCTTCCGAGCAGCCTGTATTTGGGACACACGGGTCTACTCTGCCATGAGATGTGGCCTGCCCTCGTGGGGAAGACTGGGGTTGCCCAGGTCTGTGGGGGTGAGAATGGCTTAGTTAGGTAGCGAAGTTTCAAAAAACCCTTTGGCAACAGCTTTACTTTTACTTTTGTTCTCCATCGAATTCCCATGCCTTGTTTTTTATAATTTCTTTGATCCTATTATGGCAAGAGATGTCCAAACTCAGCAAATGAGGATAAGTACCAAACCCAGGGTTTAAAAAAATTTTTTAATTAACTTATTTTCATTTTACTTGGGGAAGGGAATATCCTCCATCCAATGTTTCAATCTGTCACTCCACAAATGCTCTGAGAGCTGGGTCTGGGCCAGGCCCAAGCCAGGAACCCAGAATTCCACCTGGGTCTCCCATTAAGTGGCAAGGACCCAAGAATTTGAATCATGACATCATCAGAAGCAGAGGAGCTCAGACCTGAATCGGGCATTCTAAAACAGGATGGAGGCATCCTAAGCAGTGCTTCAACCATGTACCAAACATTCGCTACCCCCTCCCCACAACCTTGGTTTTGTATCTTTGTTCTGTGTAGATCTTAGCTACTTAAATACTCGGAGTATATATGTAATGAATACAATCGGTCCTTGGGCACATTTTTGGTTTGTCAGGTGGAGAGCTCCCTCTAGTGGCTAAAGATCTATTGATATTTGCATAACTATCAATTACCAAGAACCATTCTGTAGCCTGATAATAAGAGGCTGGGACCCCCAACAGCATCCAACACAACCCCCTACCCTCAGACACAGTTCTCCCCAGCCACTCCTCTGAGCCTGCCTATCCAGATAATTCATAAAGGCCCCTCGGGAAGGGCACTGTGGGTCATATCAGGGTTTACAACCCTCTTAAATCAGCTTCCCAGAAATTACTGCCAAGTCTTAGCAGCACACGGAAGTAGCTGAAGACATCAACACTGCCGGGAGGTGTGGACATGGGAGGAAACACAGGCAGACTGGAGGCAGGGGAAGAAAGTCAGGAAGACTTCTTACTGAAACTCACCATGTCCAGTTTGGTTTTTCCTAGAGCTCAGGGTAGATCTTGTGTCTTTCTAAAAATCAGGAAAAGTGGTAACCACCAAGGTCACCAGGGAGATGTCCTAGTCTAAGATTTTTAAATTATTTATCTTTACATTTTATTTGAAAAGCAGAGAAAGAGAGATAGGGAATGCTCCTATCTGTTCACTTGCCAAATGCCAGAGCTGGTCCACATTGAAGTCAAGAGCCAGAAACTCAATCCAGGTTTCCCACATGCTTGGGGAGAATCCAAGTACTGGAGCCACCACCTACTGACCCACAGGGTACATGTTAGTAGGAAGCTAGAATTAGGAACAGAGCCAAGACTTGGACCTAGGCACTCAGATGTGAGATATAGGCGTTCCAAGCAGGATCTTAACTGATATACCAAATGCCTATCCATTCCCCTAAGATTTTAACATGCCTCCTTGTCATTAAATTGACTCCTGTAGTTTTTAGTTCTTAGGAGTGTTTAGTGCACTGTTTCTTCCTCCAATGCAGTTTGAAAGAGAATGAGTCAAAACCAGTATCTAAATTCCAGCCCCACCACTCACTCTAGGACATCTGGCAAGGCATCTGGTCCCTCCGATCCAATACTGTCAACAAAAATGAAGGGCAGTCCCTGTCCTGCCTATTCAAAGACTTTTGTGAAGGTTAAATAATAAAACACAAGTGCCAGAGCTGGAACACGGGTTCCCTTTGCCTGGAACCCTCTTCCCGCAAGTCTTAGCTTCCATATCATCTCAAGGAGACCTACACGGCTGTCCTACTTAAAACTATTAACTGTCTCCTACCCAAATGTCTCTCACCATACATCTCCTCAGTTTTAATATTTTCTTTAACACGTATTTTCCTTCTATGTATAATTTATTTATTTATTAAATTTTCCTTATGGTCTGTCTGCCCCCACAAGACTATTAAGCCAAATGAGGGTCAAACATTTTTCATTAATGTATCCAAAGTACCCAGATTAATGCCTTAACCATAGTCCAGCTCAATAAACATTTGTTGAGTATCAGGTGTATAGAACCTTTTATGTGCCAAGCACACTTTGCACCATTCATAATACCATTCAGGGGCCATACAAAATTATCATCTCAAAAATTAGCCTGCCCTAGATTCAATAAATTTTGAGTCCCATATGTGGTTGCCTTGACAAGGCCAGATCAAATGAATTTTGTGCATCTTAAAAAGCCTGCAGTTTGGACATTTCCCTCTCCTGGAATAAATAAAAAGAAATCCCTTTGACTGTGATATTTTAAATTTTCTTCTTTAAATACATTATGGTTCTGAAGATTACATTTTTCTCTGATTCCACCAACAATTCTTAGTTTTCATTGTAAATATTGTTTATAGATTTAGAATCTACCCACAGAGAAAGTGAAGACAATTTGTTATTTTACAAAAAACTTTAACTATCATGTCTTTGTCATTATAAAAGTAATGTTATGGTAGACTGAAGCTGAAGAGAGAAGGAAAAAGAAGATACCCCTACAACAGGGGTAGGTATACTCAAACTTCATTGTCTTTGGAAAGTAGTCACTAGGAATTTTGATAGAGAAAAAGGATTAGAAATGCCTGAATACAAAGGACTTGACTCTAGCATACTATGCGATCTTGGCTTCTGTCAGTCCAAATTTCATTGCTAAAACAAAGGTAATACCTGTTGTAATGAAAATTGAAATATATAGAGCATCCAGCACAGCTTCTGGCACACAGCAGACACTCAAGCCTTAGTTCCCCCAGCTGTGCTCACTCATTTATGTATTGTCTATTGCTGCTTTCAAACTGTAACAGCGGAGTTGAATAGCTGTGACACAGACAATATATACTGTCACAAAAATCTAAGATATTTACAGCTAGCTCTTCACACAAAGTCTGCTGACCCTGGTCTAAAGTAAGATTAGTAAAACATGTAATGGACTCTACAGCATAGGTAAAGATAAACAATAGCAGGAAGAATGTGAAAGAGGAGTGAGTAGTACAGTGTAGAACACTAATCTTACACTTAACATGAAGTATAGTAATAAAGACTGGCTGACAAATTTAAAAATGTTCATTGTAAATCCTAAAGCAACAACTAAATTAAAAGAGTATAAATAATAAGCCAATAGTGAAGATAGAACGGAAACTCAGAAAAATTTTCAATTCAGAAGAAAGCTGAAAAAGGAAAAAAAATAGAGAACAAAGGAAAAACAGAACAAATATTAAACAACTAAGAAGTTAGCTTTAAACTTAGCCATATTATACATAGATTAAATGAAAACAGCTTAAAAAATCAAGATTATCAGATTGTATTTAAAGGAGCAAGAATCCATTGATCAAAAACAGACTCTTAAAATGAAGACAAAAAGATGAAAGAACAGAAATATTATACCATCAAATGCCAATTAAAAGAAAGTTGAAGTATCTATGTTAATAAAAGACACAGTAGACCTCAGACCAAGAAATAGTACCCAAAAAAAAAAAAAATCAGTTCACTGAGAGACAGAAGAAATCAATTTTATTTTAATAGCACTGTTGCAAAGATGCCATTGGCCTGACCAATTTGTATTGAAAAACTCGTGTATGGCTTTGGAACACATTTAAGATTATTTTCTATGGGATATTAGGATTCAGTTATATTTCCCTTACTTTATCACATTTAGTCTGTATTAAGAAAAAAAACAACAAAACATACTCTGAGATATACTGGAGGGAATATAATCAATCAACTTAGGGCTAAAAATATTGGCAATAATCCTCATATAAACATTTAGAGTCTGTGTTAAGAATAAATATAAAACCCATAACACACAAAATGAAAAACAATGTGAATATAAATGTGTCATTAACAAAAAAAAAATTTAAAGACTGTTTTCTTCTCCCCCCTCAACAAAGGTTTTCCACAGCAAACCCTAATAACTTACATTTTTTGACCGATTGTAGAGTTTTCTTGAAAAAGCAAATCAACATCTACATCAAAGTTGCATGTGGTAATACACCAAGTCATTCCTCCTACTACCTGAAAAACACAAAGAAAATGCTTGCTTTCTCTCTCAGGGTCAGGGAAAGGTTAAATAGAAGGAAGACAATTTTTAAGTGTTACAAAATTTATATACCTTTATACATAAAGAGAGTGAGTCCTTACCTTTAACTCATGTAGGAAAGCACAGCTAAATAAAACTTTCTGCAGACAGAAATGTTCTGTATCTGCACTGTTCGTGCGGTTTCTAGCCACATGTGGCTATTGAGTACTAAGCGTGGCTGGTGTGACTGAGAAACTGACTTTAATTATTAAACAGACATATCACACACAGGTCTTCTTTAGTGTAAAGGGAGCAGGCACTCATTTTCTGTTCAAAGAAGTCTTAACCCAGTTCAGGCAAGTGCCAGATTCCAGTGGTATCCTGTGTTTTACTCAAAGTACATATGGGCAGCAAGACTGATATTTGGGGGCTGGTATTACGGCACAGCAGGTTAAGCCACCACATGTAATGCTGGCATCATGCACCTGTTCAAGTCCCAGCTATTCTGCTTCTGATCCAACTCTTCACAAATGTGTCTGGGAAGTCAGCAGGGGATGGTCCAAGTTCTTGGGCACATTTAGGCCCCCGCCATCCATGTGGGAGACACAGATGGAGTTCCAGGCTCCTTGCTTCTACCTGGCCCAGGCCTGGCTGTTGTCTGGTTGTTGTAGCCATTTGGGGAACAAACCTTTGTCACTCTGTCTTTCAAATAAAATAAAATGTTTTCTTAAAAAGACATTTTGTGCTCACTTTAATTTCCATACATTTTATTTTCTCATCTATAGGATTTCTCTGCAATGCAAAGGAGACTAAGGCTAAAAACCCATTTTTAAAACAAAATGTTTTTCAAATACAGCTTGGTATCAGAAAAAAACATCAGTGGCTGTTATCCTTGCTGTGTTGTAAGATTCATGTGAGATGTCCAATAAAATATAGAATCCAGGGCCCCAGTCCAGACCTAACTAACCACAGTTTCAATGGATGAAAAAGCCTGAACATCTATAACATAAAACCACCCAGAGTGATTCTGTGATGCACTTCCAGGAGCACTTAGCACTGTCTTCCCAAAGCTTTCCTGACCCACCCTGTTAAACTTGGATGCTTCCCTTCTGTGCACACCACACTGCTGACTTACTGCACCATGTCATTGATCTGTGCATGCTGGTTTACTTGTCCCTCTTCCCCACTCTACAGAAGTTGTAGTCTTTGAGGGCAGGGTGACTCTTTTAGATCTCTGTCCTCAAAACCTTTTATATCTTGTACATAACTATTTAAGGTTCTGCAAAATTGAAAGACTCCATCCCATAGTAATATCTCCCTCCTGCAAACAGAGCATTTACCATCCACATAATATCATTTATCAGGGAGCATGCTGACTTAGGATAACTCATGATTAACTCAGATTATTTTATACAAACTTTATAATCTCCATCCAAACTCCAAATTCTTTGACAGAAGGAACTGCTTCTTTGGCTTTTTTACATTAAGTAAAACTTTGTACTGAGAAAAGGAATCTTATCATATCCACCAATACATCATCATCTTTGAACAGGAAATCTGAATACCTGCATAATGAATCAGAATTAGGGAGAAAGGAAAACATGAAAGAAGTAAGAACACAATCTCTTTCTCCTTTCTCTGCCATGGTTAAGCATGTCCTCCTGATCAAAAACAGCCTAGCGGTTAGAAAGGCTTCCTCTTACCTTGTCAAAAGGTGACAAACCTTTAATCCTTGCCCTGAAATACCCAGCTGCAACCAAGAGTTCCAGAATTTCAGCCAATTTGACATTTTGTTCTTCATCTTCTCTTGTTTCCACCTAAAATACAAGGTACAAGTTAGGCTGACAAAAGCTATCCTGAATAAAGGAACATCAGGTATATACCTTGATGCCACAATCACATGGCCAGGGAGCAGGTGATGTTGACTGAGTCACTGCACCAGATTCTCTGAAATGCAGCAAGCAGCATTCAGAAGCACAAAAACATTGCTACCGGAGTCACAAAGAACAGTCTCCAGCCCTCAATGAGCTATTAATCGTCATAGCAAGTGGGGAGAAAACACTTCATCATATGCTGAAGGAATCCTGGGAAAAAGAAGAATACATTACATCTCTCTCCTCAAACACATGGTTTACTTGCCAGGATTCTCAAATAGCTAAGCTATTTACAGACAGAAACAAGGTGTTTTTGTTTTTGTTTTTTATTAACTTTATACTCATCCATGTCCTAGTAGTTATTGACAAGTGGATTAAGAACAAATGAGGGAATTCAAATCCAAGGGTACCTCAAAAGGTTTGTAGGAAATGAAATTAAAAGCTTATTTTGGTACCAAAAAAAATTAAATTTAAGTAAATGAAGGGTCTTCAAAATAATTCATGAAAAATGTGTAGCATTAAAACACTATGAATGGGAGCTGGTACTGTGGTATAGTAGGCTCCTCTTCTGATCCAGCTCTCTGTTAATGACCTAGAAAAACAGAAGATGGTCCAGTGCTTGGGCCCCTGCACCCATGTGGGAGACCTGGAAGAAGCTCCTGGCTCCTGGCTTCAGATCGGCCCAGCTCCAGCCATTGCAGCCATTTTGGAAAGTGAACCAGCAGATGGAAGACTTTTCTGTCTCTCCCTCTATCTATAACTTTTCCTCTCAAATAAATAAATAAAATCTTGAAAAAAAAATTTTCAAATTTCCTGACTATTCCCTCACTCAACAATGCCTTCCTTTACCATGCATCTCATATTTATCCTCCCCTTCCTTTTATTCACACTTCATGTCATGACTATCGCAACTGCTCCCAGTCTTTCTTCCCTATTAATCTCTTTTTCACTCCCTCCTAAAGTTTTCATGTGATCCCTCTTTCGTGCACTGCCCAGTCCTCATCATCACTGCATCACACACTATCTTTAAAATTTGTTTGAAATTCCGATCTTTGACTGACACCTATCTTTTCAGCTTTATCCTTTAATCTCTTCCCAAAGCATTCCAGACATAGTTTTGACCAATCTAGACAATCAGCACTCATTCCTGTTTCTTCACTGTTCATACATTCCCTTCTTTTCTCTAACCATCCAGAAAGCACCTTCAAATTCTAGTTCCAATTCGACGTCATCCCTTACAAATCCTGGCTAAATTGGTCAATCCTCTACATCTCTCTTTTATTTATAGTTCATGCCATTCATACAGTTAAGTATCACCTCTTCTGAGTGAAGTCTGTTATTATGTACCTGATGGCCTTTCCAACTGGATTATTAGCTGGTCCAAGAGCGGTACTCTATTTATTATACATCTGTGTTTGTTCCTCTGTACCGAAACAGCATTTGGCTCAAAGGATACACTTATTAAATATGTAATGGTACATTCAATCATTAAGTGAAGTGCACCACCTAACCTAGTCCATGACTTCACAAAATGTTCTCATAATCATGACACTGATGATGAAAATGCAAGTTTACTTTGCAGTATAAACTGCCAGGAAAGGGAGGACACATATTAACATGAATTCAGTTGAACATGGAATCATTAAACTGATTGGGATGGACTGGGTAGGGGGCAGGCGCAGCAGGTGATAGCCTTACACAACTGCTTATTTTTCTTCTCTCTCTCTCTCTGTCTCTCTCTCTCTCTCAAATGACCTTGGTCTAGCCTACCAAAAACTGTAAAGACTAGCATTCTCTAGTTCTTACTAGACATACAAAAATAAGGTAATAATTGTTTACACCTTCTCTTCCTTCTGCAAAATATCTGGGTTAAGAAACATCTACAAGTGAGGAGACTCAAAAAGATAAAAAGCAGGCCGGCGCCGTGTGCTTGCGGCGCCAGCACACCAGGTTCTAGTCCCGGTCGGGGTGCCGGAGTCTGTCCCAGTTGCCCCTCTTCCAGGCCAGCTCTCTGCTGTGGCCAGGGAGTGCAGTGGAGGATGGCCCAAGTACTTGGGCCCTGCACCCCATGGGAGACCAGGATAAGTACCTGGCTCCTGCCATCGGATCAGCGTGGTGCGCCGGCCGCAGCGTGCTGGCCACAGCGGCCATTGGAGGGTGAACCAACGGCAAAGGAAGACCTTTCTCTCTGTCTCTCTCTCTCACTGTCCACTTCTGGCCTGTCCAGAAAGAACAAATAAATAAAATGGGCAGTTACAGTTTGTGAAGACAGAGAAGAAAAAGAAGATAAAACTATCTTAAACTCCTGAGATGTAAAACAGGAATGCTTTATTTATTCAATCATCATTTATCTAGAAAACACTGCCACGAAGAGGACAATGCATCACAGGAGGCCCCTCCCTGCCTTGACACCTATCTAATGAGCAGCCCCAGCCCAGCTCAGCAGATGATTAGCCCATGCTTCTTTTCCACTATGACCACAATGGAGAAGTGTACTTCTGCAATACAACTTTTGAAACAACTTTTTGGCACAATATTGTAAACGGGGATGTTTGACTGCAAATTCACTTTGCAGATCAACACTGGAAAAAAAAAATGGAAAAGCATCACTGGCTAATACACAGGGAATGGGAGAAGACACTCTCTTGAAGCTATAAAAAACCACCAGGCTGATTAACACATTGCTGTTAAAACTAAATTTCTAATAAAGATGAATGACTGTGAACTCTTAAACCAGGCCCAATAAATTTTCAACTGCTGTGCACCGTAGTTCATGAAAGTTGAAAGGCTAGACTAAGTCTAGCTATCTTACTTACAGCACAGATCTTCAAATTTCGTGGAAAATGTGCATTATGGAAGAACACTATGCATTGATTTCAAACGTTTTTGCACCAAAATAAACTTTCCACAAACTTTTTCAAGGTTCCTTCCTACATACAGTAAATGGTCAAAAATACTGAATTAAGTTAAATGGACTAGTGCTGACAACTTAATTATATTAACCTTCACCTCCTCCTAATTGCCAGGAGCTGTGTGTCTTAGACTTTTGGAAAACAAATCAGACCCAGCCTTCTGGCAGTCAGTGAAGGGTTAAACCAAGGGTACACAGGATCAGACTGCTTTTTATTTTATGAACTCTCCTACTGTTAGTCCCGTGGAACACTGAGTTGGAAGATTTAGCTAGGACCTAGGAGAGACCAGAAAGGAGACTACAGCAAAAGGCCAGGTGAAAATCTGATGAAGAACTTAGAATAAAGTAGCAGAAAAAAAAAAAAAAAAAAACCTGCAAATACTCCAGTATGGATTCTATGCTTCACGACTCAGAGTCCCATCAAACAACGTGCAATGGAAGGTTTCCTTAACGCATCACACTGAAAGGTTTTCTAAGACAATCACAAAACGGACTTGCATTCTGGCAACACACACCGCTGGATCTAGCCTTCCATGCTTCTAGGCATAGAACAGTGACTCCTCAATTAATGGGTCCCCTTTTCCTCGTGGGATGACAGATCTTAGGATCTGGGAGGGGCGCAGAGAAAAGTGTGATGGGACCACTCAGCGCGTCAAGCCATCAGTCACCCTGCCAAATGCCTGCTTCAGAACCTTAGGGAGGGGACAGACGTGCAGCGTGGATTCCGATACTCCCCAGAATCTAAGTAACCGAGACAAAGCTTTTGAGTAAATCAACCAGAAGGGAAGGCAGATGCAAACCCCCCAGCTGAGTGATATTTGCAGTCCAAGGAAAATAAGTGTACTTTCAAAACCTTTATCTCCAGCCAACGTGGAAATCCGGAAACCACTGAGATCCCGTTCCTAGGACCAAGACAGCACTTAAGAGCACACACACCTCTGGAAAGGCGCCCGCTATCTTCTGGGGAGGCAGCAGCGTTTCCGCCCGGGGCGCCGTCCCCACCCCACACACCGCAGCGCGCTGACCCAGCTGGACACAGCCGCTGTGCGCGCACGGCCCCAAAACTTGGTCCCGCCACCGCGGTCGGAGTCAATTCAGGGAGCACCGGGTCACCCGCTCTCCCACACCGCAACAAACAGGCACAGCAGGGCGGCCGGCGCTGGCGCCGGGACTCCAGAGGAGGTAGCAGAGCCCCCAAGGTCACCGCCCTCTGCCCAAGCCTACCCAGGACGGTCCCGGCGCGCGCGTCTCGTGACTCCGGCGCGCAGCAGCCTCGGCCCTCGGGACTCAACCCGCGGCGCCGAGGGCCGGGGAAGACAGCCAGGGACAGCCGGAGGGGTGGGAACCCGGCACCCCGCGGAGTGCAGGGCCGTGTCAGGGCAGGTGTCGGGCTGGGAAGGCCACCTCCGCCCCTCACGAGACCCCGGAGCGGCTGAAGTTTGCCCCCACCCACCCGCACGGGGCCGAGCTCACCCCGCTCGGCGGACCGGGCCGGTGCTGCCCCGCGGTGGACACACCAGAGGAAGGGGGCGGGGCGCCCCGAACGCTACCCTGGTCCTTGTGTGTCCGCAGCCTCGCGGGCTCCCCAGTTAACCTCAGAAACCCCGACACGTCAAGGAGCCGGGGGGTCCTTACCTCCGGAAGACCCTGGCCCTCTGGCCCCTTGGGCAGCCCCATGATCCGGCCAGGCTGTCGTGTGGCGGCAGCGTGGCCCACAAGGAGCCCGAAGGAAGCTGTCTCTGCCGCGAAGCTGCTACCGGGGTGGAGTGCAAAGCGGAAACTTCCTCTGTCGCCGCCGCCGCCGCCGCCACAGCCGGCCGGGAGCGCCGCGGCCCGGCGGAGCATGCGCGCTGGGGAGGGAGCGCGGCGCCACTGCGCCTGCGCGAGGGCAGCTGGGGGCGAAGCTGGGCCGGGCGGGGACTGAGAATACCTGTCCAGCCAGGCCGCGGGCCGGCGTTGTGCCAGGGTATCGCGCCAAGGCTCTGAGTAGTTCTCCCAGGCGCTTCACGAAAGGGGCTATTTCTGCGTCCTGGGGACATTTTGCATTCCAGGTCCAGGCTTCTTCGCAAGCAACACAGAAGTGCCCCTTGCTCCCGGGTCAGAGTCCGATCCCCGAGTAGCTCGGGAATTCGGAATGCAGGCCTGCCTGCAGCCCAGACTCACAGGCACTCCTCGGTGTGCGGGCTGGAGAATTCCGAAGGGATTCTCCAGGACTGCTCTCCTCCCCAGCGTGATCCTGTTTCCGGGGAACCTGGCTTGGGATAATGCCGCGCACCCCGCTGCATGCCGGGTTTCTGAGTTTCCCTGGGGAAGGACATCTCCAAGAACACAAACTCCGGTGTTTGCGGGATTTCAGCGGCCTCATTACTTACATGATGTATCCCTAGCCGGTCCCAACTGTGAGTGAAAGCTGTATCAAAAGATTCTCTTTGGCCACATGACCCCCTACACCTGCTGCCTAATGGCTTCCACCATTTTTGTCTTAAAGGGATAAAGACAGGTGATTGACATGAAAACTTTTGCGGAGAAACAGCTTCTTTCCTCTGTGTGAGCTCCTTGGGCTCAAAAAGGTTTTCTGTTTTGAGTTTCCTCCCTTTTGAAAGCTGATTCTCTTAACATCTTAGAAAGTAGGTGTTGGGTAAATTTTTGTCCTTCAAGAAATTCCTCGCAATTTTTGTACTCCTTCTGGAGTTTATCTTGGTAAGTAGGTAGAGGACCCAAAGAATGCCATGTCATTCTTACATGTAGCTAGTAAGTATTACAAAAAGCTGTGTGCCACTCCACCTCTCCCGCCCCAGGCCCCAGTAATTTGATAAATTATTATACAACTTAAGGTGTTGTGATAGGAACCCTCCTCTTCCTGTTGCTTGACATCTTGCTCTCAAGCATTGTAAATCCAACAAAACTCAATTTGTAAGGCACTTATTCTCATACTTCCCACATGTGTTATTTTTGTAGTTGTAAGCCTTCCCTGGAATGGTGTAGGTTGAGAAGGCACGGAGGCTAATAATCGTTTGTGTCCTCTGTTTGCTGGCTGATGTCTAGCAAAATCAAAAAACATGTCTAAATTGCTATAAAGCAGCCAGAGATTAAGACCTGGAGAAGTAGGACTTCTCAGTAGGTTACACCCTACAGGTCCCCTGTTGTAAATAAACAGGAGCAGGCAACTTTCCTAGTAAGCTGTCCTATTTTATGTCTGGGTAGAGTGACAATATCATTGGGTTGACAGCATTTTTTGTTGTTGTTGTTTGTTACTTTTTTTAAAAAGGATTTATTTATTCATCTGCAAGTCAGAGTTACACAGAGAGAGGAGAGGCAGAGAGAGAGAGAGAGAGAGAGAACGCGAACGAGATCTTCCATCCGCTGGTTCACTCCACAGTTGTCCACAACGGCCGGAGCTGCGATGATCCGAAGCCAGGAGCCTCTTCTGGGTCTCCTACGTGGGTGCAGGGGCCCAAGGACTTGGGCCATCTTCTACTGCTTTCCCAGGCCATAGCAGAAAACTGGATCAGAAGTGGAGCAGCCGGGTCTCAAACCGGCGCCCATATGGGATGCTAGTGCTTCAGGCCAGGGCGTTAACTCACTGTGCCACAGTGCTGGCTGTTATTTATTTATTAAAGATTTATTTGAAAGGCAGAGTTACAGAGAGGAGGAGAGAGAGATCTTCTATCTGTTGGTTCACCCCCAATGGCCACCATGGCCAAGGCTGGACCAGGCTGAAGCCAGGACCCTGGGGCTTCTTCCGGGTCTTCCAGATGGGTGTAGGGTCCCAAGGACTTGGGCCATCCTCTGATGCTTTCCTAGGCACATTAACAGGGAACTAGGTTAACAGTGGAACAGCCAGGACACAAACTGGTGCCCACATGGGAGGCTGGCATTGCAGGCAGCAGCTTAACCTGTTACACCACAATGCCGGCCCCAATTTATTTATTTATTTATTTATTTATTTATTTATTTTGTTGTTGTTGTTGTTGTTGTTGTTAAAGGATCTCAGTAAATAACCATAAGAGCAGTCAAGAAAGCTTGAGCAGCACATATTGGAGAGGGGAATTGCCTACCCAGCCTTGTTCAAGGCAGCCCTTGAATAGTGACAGTGAAGGAGATTTGTGCTCACTCTTTCAGATACATGCATCCTTGTCTCTGTAGTGGGATATTTGAGGATCAGGAATAGGTGGTTGTGTCCCTGCTATGCACATCCTCTGTAGAGCTGCATGATCTTGTTCTAGTTGAAAGATTCTTCATCTCTCACTCTGGTGCCCTTTGAGAAGAGACCTAAATCCCCAGGAGGCTCCCTGGGAAGACTCAGGGGAAAGCATGCCCAATAGAAGGCATATCTGAGGTGTTCCAGACGGCTCCGCTTTGCCCTCCAGACCTGCTGTCAGCGTGGTCTCCTTGGGTGCTACTGTGTAAGGCTGACTAATTAGGGCTTCATCTGCAGAGCCAAAAGTGTGATAGGTGTTTGGGTCCTGGGATTTGAAGATCTGAGTGGAGGGGTCTAGGGAGTAAAATTTCAGTCAAAATTCAGAAAAATAGAAGATAACTTCAAAATGTTCATGGAAAATGGAATTAAAAGAGAATTTCATTTCAGTACAAAAAAATTTACAAGTCCATGCCCAAGAGGAGCTTGTAAAAAAGTTCAAGGAAAATGTGTGTTATGAAAAAAACTACTCATGAATTTCAAAATCTTTCGTACTGAAAGAAACTTCTTTTTTAATTCCATTTTTTATGAACTTTTTAAAGTACTCTGATACATCAAGAGCTTCAAAAATATCTTTGGTCATGATACTTTCCATTTTTAGGGTTTAAGTTCAAAGAACTTCCTCACAATTTTATGAGAGAAAAACTGGAAACCCATGTAAGTAGCCCATAAGAAGGAAGTGGTGAAATAACATTAGAGTAAGTTTCATTTGGTGCAACACTGTGCCATCAGTAAAAATATGTGCTACAGCAGGCCATGAAAGAAAAGGGTGCAAAATGAGACCATATAAACAAGGAATCATTAAAACATTTAAGAGGGAAACTGCAAACAATGTTCATTTTGTGACAAGATTTCTCACAACTGGAGAAAGAATGTTTAATAGAAAAATAAGCATAAAATTTGAGTAGAGAATTCCTAAAAGAAATTGCCACTAAACATACAAAAAAAATTGCTCAGCCTTACTTTAAAAAATGAAAACGAGGTACCTTTTGATGGAAGAAATAATTACTGTTCTAAGAATATTAGTGCCAATAACACTCCTTAGTCATGACTAAGTTTTTTTTTTTTAAACTTTTATTTAATGCATATAAATTTCCAAAGTACGACTTATGGATTACAATGGCTTCCCCCCCATACCGTCCCTCCCACCCACAACCCTCCCCTTTCCCACTCCCTCTCCCCTTCCATTCACATCAAGATTCGTTTTTGATTATCTTAATATACAGAAGATCAGCTTAGTATACATCAAGTATGGATTTCAACAGTTTGCTCCCACACAGAAACATAAAGTGAAAAATAATAGATGATTTTTTTTAAATGATGATGAAATCAGAGCAGACCTATTGTCATGTTTAATCCCAGTGAGAGTCAAGTTGGGAATTGATAATTTCTTTTTTTTTTTTTTTTTTTTTTACAGAGGATCAGTTTAGTATGCATTAAGTAAGGATTTCAACAGTTTGCACCCCCATAGAAACACAAAGTGAAATATATTGTTTGAGTACTCGTTATAGCATTAAATCTCAATGTACAGCACATTAAGGATAGAGATCCTACATGAGGAGTAAGTGCACAGTGACTCCTGTTGTTGACTTTACCAATTGACACTCCTGTCTATGGCATCAGTAATCTCCCTATGCTCCAGTCATGAGTTTCCAAGGCTATGGAAGCCCTCTGAGTTCTCCGACTCTTATCTTGTTTAGACAAGGTCATAGTCAAAGTGGAAGTTCTCTCCTCCCTTCAGAGAAAGGTACCTCCTTCTTTGATGACCTGTTCTTTCCACTGGGATCTCACTCGCAGAGATCTTTTGCCAGAGTGATGACTAAGTTTTTTAAATAAATATTTTCTTTTTTCTTTTAAAGATTTATTTATTTATTTGAAAGTTGGAGTTAGAGAGAAAAGGAGGCTAGCGCCACAGCTCACTTGGCTAATCCTCCACCTGAGGCATCGGCACCCCGGGTTCTAGTCCCGGTTGGGGCGCCAGATTCTGTCCCAGTTGCTCCTCTTCCAGTGCAGCTCTCTCCTGTGGCCCGGGAAGGCAGTGGAGGATGGCCCAGGTCTTTGGGCCCTGCACCCGCATGGGAAACCGGGAGGAGGTGCCTGGCTCCTGGCTTTGGATCAGTGCAGTGCCGGCCGTGGCAGCCACTTGGGGGGTGAACCAACAGAAAAAGGAAGACCTTTCTCTCTGTCTCTCTCTCTCTGTCTCTCTCTCTCTCTTTTTCTCTCACTGTCTAACTCTGCCTGTCAAAAAATAAATTAATAAAGAAGAGAGAGAAGGAGAGGCAGAGAGACAGAAAGAGGTCTTCCAACCACTGGTTCACTCCCCAGTTGGCCACAATGGTCGGAGCTGCACTAATCTGAAGCCAGGAGCCAAGAGCCTCTTCCAGGTCTCCCATGTGGGTGCAGGGGCCCAAGGACTTGGGCCATCTTCCACTGCTCTCCCAGCAGTGAGCCCCTCATCCAGCAGAGAGCTGAATCAGAAGCGGAGCAGCCAGGACACGAATCGGCGCCCATATGGGATGCTGGCACTGCAGGCAGCAGTTTTACCTGCTACGCCACAGCGCTGGCCCCATGAATATGTTCTTAACAACTGTTCTGATGGGCAATTTGGCAAAATTAATTGTTCACCAAATATCCCTTCAGTTCCCAC